ATCCCATTGAGGATCATTTATGATCGATTTCATTCAATGTTTATATATATATATATATATATATATATATATATATATTAAAAGTATAAAATTGGCTACAAAACATGATACATTGAGTCATTGGTGCCAAGATTTATTTTCCATTTACCTTCATCCCATAAGATTGATTTTTAAATGCAATTATATTTATATATAGATAGATAGATAGATAGATAGATAGATAGATAGATAGATAGATAGATAGATAGATAGATAGATAGATAGATAGATAGATAGATAGATAGATAGATAGAAAGAAAGAAAGAAAGAAAGATAGATAGATGTGTATGAGAGACACGTCATCTTTGGGATGAAGCATAAGACCTATGTCAACCTTGGATCCCTTTGGGATTCATTTATGATCGATTTTATTCAATGTTTATATATATATATATATATATATATATATATATTTATATATATATTTATATAATAAAAGTATAAAATTGGCTACAAAACATGATACATTGAGTCATTGGTGCCAAGATCTATTTTCCATTTACCTTCATCCCATAAGATTGATTTTTAAATACAATTATATATATATATAGATAGATAGATAGATAGATAGATAGATAGATAGATATGAGAGACACGTCATCTTTGGGATGAAGCATAAGACCTATGTCAACCTTGGATTCCATTGGGATTCATTTATGATCGATTTCATTCAATTTTTATATATATATATATATATATATATATATTAAAAGTATAAAATTGGCTACAAAACATGATACATTGAGTCATTGGTGCCAAGATCTATTTTCCATTTACCTTCATCCCATAAGATTGATTTTTAAATGCAATTATATATATAGATAGATAGATAGATAGATAGATAGATAGATAGATAGATAGATAGATAGAAAGAAAGAAAGATAGATAGATGTGTATGAGAGACTCGTCATCTTTGGGATGAAGCATAAGACCTATGTCAACCTTGGATCCCATTGGGATTCATTTATGATCGATTTCATTCAATGTTTATATATATATATATATATATATATATATTAGGTTGATTATTAGCCTTGGTTAAAGGGGGGGGGATGGAAGGGGAAAAATATATTATGTGAGTGGGATCCACTTGTGGGCCCTATCACCGCCGGCTCTTGGTGATTGTGTGCACTCCATCCCCAGCTGCCCAGCTCTCACCACGTCCAAAGGTCGGCATTCAGAGGTCGGCGTCCGGATAATCTAATTAACGGACTTAGCTTTAAGATCCTGTGATTCATTCTGTTTTTATTTCATTCATTTACTCATCTATTATCATTTATCATCCAAAAGCTTGTCCTTATCCACCTACTGAGAATGGATCTTTTCCTTCACTGTTTGTGGGTTTGGGATATTCTTATATATATATTTATTTATTTATTGAGAGATTTTGAAAGACATTATTTTTATTATTATTATTATTCTTGATTATTAAGTAAACTGCAAAGTATGATTTTATTTTTTGGAACGCATGTGCTCAATAGTATCACAAATAAATAAATAAATATTTTTGTTTGTTTCCATATTTGCACATTTTTGTGCAAATAAATAAGAATAAAGAAAGGTGGACAATCCAATGGATTTGGCATAAAACTACACACACAGAATCTACAGCACAACTGTTTAAAATCACAACATCAAAGACCCACATTGTAATGTAGTATATGGTTTGTACATAAAAACTAGTTCATGATTACCAAAACTGAAATTAGATATTGTGAAAGTGGAACTATCAAATAATAAATGCCTCTCATTAATACATGTTAGAACTCATGGCATCTTAACGAATCTTTTTAAGAGGTGATTTTGATACCCTCTAAAAAGTAGCCTCTGCATTACTCTCTATCCATTTAAACTTAAAAAGACTTCATGAGCTGCTTCCTCTATCGCTTCTCAAAACCCTTACTTTTTATTCTTGCCTGTAATAAATACACACATAATTATGCAAAATTGCTCAAAAAACATGTGGAGTTTTATGCCCCCAAAAAACTGTACTCTAACCCCACATTCTTTATTACTGTGGATATTATCATCATCATTATCTTACCATTATCTTCCATGCAAACCAAAGGTAATGTTGCTGCATATGTGGTTACATGCAATCGCACTGCATTGAATTAGGAACAAAAGCAACACCCGCTTGCCGCTTGTTAAACCATGCAAAATAAATGGATGCAAGCCAATAAAATTTCAGTCAAAATAGATTGAAAGTAAAAATATGAAAACGACCCAAGAATTATATCAAACCCTAATATGCATGTGCAATGAGAGTAATAATATATACCTGGGTATAATACTCCCCATTCACACACTCTGGTGAGCTCTTTCCCATCTGCCCGGGTTTCTCAGATGGAACCTAATCGGGCAGAGCCGCCTGCCCACTAAAAACATGCGAGAAAGAAGGGGAAAAAGAGAGCGACCAAGGGGGGGAAGAAATCGGGTCTGATTGGGACGGGCCCAGTGTTTGGGTTGTAGCAGGTGTGGGGGTCGGGAGTGGATGACATCGTGGTACGGATGAACGAATGATCATTGGGGGCACTGGGATCGTTCACCGTTAGTGTGCCCGTGAGCAGCAGCCCCTGCTCGTCCAAGTCAAGCACACCAGTGAGTAGTGAGTAGTAAGTGGGGAAGATATGGCAAGAGAGAGAGCGAATCCAGAGGAATATTTTGCATGGAAACGGCTTCCTTGTCAGCTTAGATTCCAAGCTCAAACAGGTACGCAAGTCAATTCCGTGCCAAACCGTCCACCGTCTCAGCGCTACAGCTGTCATCACCCAAGCGGGGGCTGAGCTGGAGTCCTAAGCCGCATTCGCCTCCAGTAGAATGGTGTCTGGGGATCCATTTTATTTAAATAGTGTGGACAATATTTAGAAAGAGCCGTAGAAAGATATCTGACCTGTTTTGTTTGGTCTTATGACACCATAGACGAAAAACGTTGTTCACATACGCCCCGTTTGAGTTTCCCAGATGTGTTGCGCTGCCCATATGCGCTGACAACTAAAAAATAGAATTGCGCAGTTTCTATATAATAATTATTCAGGGAAATCATCTGCAAGTTCCCACAGGGGATATCAAACATTTGCTGCATATTATATTGAATCATTGAAGTCGACGCCGTTGCAAGTCCCTTGCATACACTGTAATATTATTTGTGGGGCAAGGGATCGTAATGTGGATCGGGAAGAGTTCACGCCGCTCAAGCCAAGTGACGGCACCGTTGCCGAGAGCAGAAGGAACCGGGCGATCGATCCATCGTGGATGCTTGCTGCGGAAGCAACGCATGCACGGCGAGCAGCAGCTTGAGTGAGAAACCTGACTTAGGGTTCTGCGCACCATCGGGTTCGAGCTCGAATCGCTGGTTGGCACTCTCACTCGGGGGTGTGATGCAGTTGGACGCATCGGGACGCATCGAAGCTTGGCTGCCGTGGGCGGGGAACCATGCGCGGGGTGGAGGCGGAAGTTGGTCGACACTCGGGGTTGTGGCAGGGCGACGAGGCGGAGGAGGCGAGCTCGGGAATTGTGAACAGGAGGTAGGAGTGATGTCCTCGGTCAACGTCCTCAAAACTTTACGTCCATTGCGATTCGTTTCCTTCCAACTGCTCATCCTGAGCTCATGAGAGGAGGTTCCGGTGGGACCTCGGGGGGCTCGGTGTCCTTTTTTCGCAGTGAAATTTTCAGAAAGGGGACTTGGTCACAGGAAATCACGAGCGAGGAAAGAGGAATCGAACAAAGAAACAAAGCAATAAGAAAGAGGAAAGAAAGAAACACATGAAATTCCGAGTCGTGATCCGAGATCCGAAACCGTATCTTGAACACATAGGAGTATTTTTAGCAGGAAGATGAGAACAAGAATCATCATTGCAAGCCCAATCCAACAACGTGACGTCGAACAGCAATTTGTCCTCTTCTCCCCCCTAGAGATTCCCTCAAAGTGGATCCATGACATAACCTATTTTCCATGAAAAATCACTCCTCCGCCCGCGCTGCCTAAGCGAGTCACGAGCTCCGTTTTCCGAGATCATTGTCCCCTCGGCGCTCTTTCTCCTTCACAGATTCCATCTTTCCGCCGGAGGGATCGAAAGAGCTCGGGTGCAGTGTTGTCCATTTTCGTGATCCGGTGGCTCCGACGCAATGCCCCAGACGCAGCTTCGTGTAAGCATTCTAAGAAAAAGAGCAGCAGGAGCCGTCTTTTACGTCTCCGGATCGATGACTCCCTCATGTGCCATGTGGGATAAAACCTAAAATCCCTCGCGATATCGGCATTACTGTCGCGACCTGTCAGTTATTCTAATTACGAAAATTCAGGGCATCTGATCCAAAATTTGTGTTGTACAAGTTCTTTTGATTAGCTCCCCTTTCGGACGCTCTTTATTGATTGTAGCGCGGTAAAACCTGGCACTGAGATTTTGTCTCTCTCTCGCTCTCTCTTTCTCCCCGTCATTGTGAGAATTCTTTGATAAAGGAGGGATGTTCTGTTTTAAAGATACGTTTCGATGAATCGCTTCAATTGTAATGGTAATTGTGGTTCACTAGTTAACCCTCTGTGTTATTTCACGGTTAACCACACGATTCCTTCCCCTTCGATCAATCTTACTGTTGCCGATGGATAAATTCGTTGCACTGTTCCAGAGGATTTTCCTTGTCTGTGCGTCAAAGGTAAAGACTTCGAAGCATCTCGGTATTGTGGCGTAAAATTGAATAGCTTCGGTGCTAGGGAAAGATTCGGCATGCTTTTAAAAAGAGGATTTCGATTCGGTTTCTGTCTGTCCAAAGGATGAGCTCCACCACCTGAGTCATCATGTTGATCAGCTTAAACTCCGTTCGTTAAGCAAGAATCGTAACTGCGTTTAAGATCTTTCAGGAGAAGGAAGCCGACCTACAATTCTCGACCGCGACGTGGCGGATGGAAGCCAAATTCTTCCCAATAGTGAAAACGCCCGCAGCCGCCTCCTCGCGTCACTTAAGAAGGTGCTGGGACATGGGGACGAGAGAGTGGCTGTGGTGGCGAGTAATTGTGTAACTCGCTCCTCATGCTGCACATTCGTCATCTGCTTCCTCGTCGTCGTCGTCGTCATTGTTGCGGCATTCCAGTCACCGGAAGTTGGCAGCAACCACCGATACATGCGGAACAATCAACTGAGGGATTGAAATTCCACGGTCTTTTTCTCGCCTTCTCTTTCGTGAAGGCAAATAACTCGGTCGCCAATCTATGGCAACCACCGCAGCGCGCCCCTCTGTCCCGCCTCTCATATATAACCACTCGCTCTTCGATTAGCGTTTCATGATGTAGACTCTGTGCGGGCTGCGATACTCCCTCCGAACGCGTGTGGATTCTGCAGAGCATTGTAGTTTCATTACGTTTCTTGCTTCTCACCTCACGTGCTTCGGGGCTAGTTCTCTTTCCAGACTCTCTCCTACAAGCCGCTGTGTGCCATTCGCTGGCCGGAAGTAGTTCCGAAGTGACTTTGGAAGACGGTGGAGGTTTGTATTGGTGTTTGTTGACTTCGGCCTTTGTTGTGGGGCACAGTTCTTTCTATCAACCCAGCTATCTTTCTTTCCTTCTTTTTTTGCTTTTTCCTAGTTTTCTTCTCTTTCAAAGTTTCTGTTCGAGTGGAATTTGGTCAGGCGCGAAGCTCTGCAAGGTGCTGTGCGTTCGTATTGGATACTACGTTCATTTTGCTCACATCTGAAGAATTCGTCTTTCGGAAGTATCTGGAGCTAAGTTTGAGGATTATATTCGAATCGCCGTAATTTATCACATAGATACGGTTCATTTTATTGAGCCTTTCTGTTTTGTTTTCGGGTCAGCGGCGACATAGAAGATAAAAAGGTGAAACAGCCAAAGTTTGCTGCGGTGTGCGTCATTCTGGTAGCTGCACTAGGGTTCGTTCCTTTGAGTTTGTGCGGAAGAAACGCTGAGGCGATCGTGAAGTCTTGTACTCCTGTAGTCTGAGAAGTGTTGTAGATCTTCTGTTGTTGAGGGCAATCCACAACGCATAAAGCACGCCAGGCTTCGGTGGAGGTATATTTTGCACTGTTTCCGGAATTGTTTGGTTCCGATTAGCAGCATGGACGTGTTTTGCAGTTCATCTATCTGTGTTAGACTTCGCATTTTCGTCTAACCGCAGACTCTACGGACACAGAACTGTTTAGGATTTGGTATAAGTTCTACAAAGCCTCGGGGCGATTGAATTGGCACCAGCAAGATGGCGGACGCTGTGGCGTGCAAAACTATGTCGGCTACATCCAATGGAGTGTGGCAGGGAGATGTGCCCGTTCATTTTGCTCTTCCTCTGCTCATCGTTCAAATTGTCCTCGTTTTGGCAATCACTCGGGCGTTAGCTTTTGTCCTGAAGCCTTTGAAACAGCCCCGCGTCGTCGCCGAGATTATAGTAAGTTTCCGAGCACCCATTCTGCATTGCACATTCATCTTGCGCGTCACCTTTTTCACAGGTTTTCATGGTGCTAGTAAATGGCGGTGATTTCTAGTCGGACGTGGCTGTACCTCACGACTGTGATTTTAGAAGCGATTTAATTTTTTTTGGTATGGCCATGCAAAACTAACTGAACGATTGTCTTCGCTTGGGTAAATTTGCAATGGCCTTGCAACTCGACCATTCACTTTTACACATACCGAATATCGTTACTACTATGAGGTCTTCTCACAATCAGCTTTTTCATGTTTATGCGTAATCTGGATGTGTCTAATGGATATTGTATTTGCAGGGCGGAATATTGCTTGGTCCATCTGCTTTTGGACGCAATAAGGACTACCTGCATACGATTTTTCCACATGAAAGTGTTATCATTCTGGAGGTCTTTGCAGACATGGGACTTTTATTCTTTTTGTTCATGGTGGGGTTAGAGCTCGATATGACCCAGATTCGGAAAACCGGAAAGCAAGCTATGTCCATTGCTGCAGCTGGAATCACTCTGCCTTTCGTTGCAGGTGTCGGTGTTTCCTTCGTCCTGCATCTTACAATTGCACCAGAGGGAGCTTTTGGTCCGTTTCTCGTGTTCATGGGAGTTGCTATGTCCATCACTGCTTTCCCTGTTCTGGCACGTATTTTGGCGGAGAGGAAGCTTTTGACTACCGAAGTAGGGCAATTGGCGATGTCAGCAGCTGCAGTTAATGACGTGGTTGCTTGGGTTCTTTTAGCGTTGGCGGTCGCTTTGTCGGGCTCCGGAAGGAGCCCAGCAATTGTTGCATGGGTTCTGTTGTGTGGAATCGCATTTTGTCTGGCCATCTTCCTTGTGGTTCAACCATGCATGCAATGGGTTGCTCATCGATCGCCCGACAATGAGCCTGTCAAAGAATACATTGTAGCATTGACTTTACTTTGTGTTCTCGTTGCTGGATTCTGTACTGATGCGATAGGAGTTCATTCCATTTTTGGCGCGTTTCTGTTTGGACTTGTTATACCTAAAGAGGGTCCTTTCGCAGCGGCTTTGGTTGAGAAATTAGAAGATTTTGTATCTATCCTCTTGCTGCCTCTCTACTTTGCATCGAGTGGACTGAAGACCAACATTGGAGCTATTCACAGCGCGCAATCTTTTGGCCTTTTGGTCTTGGTTATCAGCGTTGCTTGTCTGGGTAAAATTCTCGGAACCTTTGCAGCTGCTAAGGCATGCAGGGTGGATGCCCGCAAAGCTTTAACTCTCGGCATCCTGATGAATACCAAAGGATTGGTGGAGCTTATTGTTCTGAACATCGGTTTAGATCGTGGAGTGAGTTTTCTGCCATCGTTCAACCTTGATGTGTCTTATATTTTGCAATAAGTTCTTCATGGCTTGTATCTTATTTTAAAATTGCTGTCAATTTATCCACAGTTGATGTGGAGCATTTACTTTTTATCAAGATGTCTTGGTATGTTGGTTTTTGAAGGTTGGCTTAAATCGCTGATCTTCCTATCGTCGCTTGTTTGTACATCCAGGTTCTGAATTCGGAGACTTTTGCAATCATGGTGCTGATGGCTCTCTTCACAACGTTCATGACAACACCTCTGGTAATGGCTATATATAAACCAGCCAGGAATCCCACTCCTTACACTCGTAGGACTTTGGAAATGGAGGACTCGAAGGATGACTTGCGAATATTGTCATGCGTGCACGGAATGAAGAACGTGGCTGCCATGATCAATCTTACAGAAGCGACCAGGGGCATGCGCAAACGTACTCTGCGCCTGTATATTTTGCATTTGATGGAACTATCCGAACGTACTTCTGCCATTATGATTGTCCAGCGGGCACGTCGGAATGGGCGCCCTTTTTTCAATCAGAGCAAACATTCGGACAACAAAGATCAAATTGTTGCGGCCTTCGAGACATATGAACAACTAAGCAAGGTAAGGCTGGTTTATCAAGACATATTGTTTCAGTTTCTGTCGTCTGTACTGTAATATCAATGCTTGATTGTTTGGATGTGTGCTACGTTGATCTTTCATCCATCTAGGGCTTCGTTAATCGCTCACGTTTTTTATTTATTTATTATTTATTTTTTATTTATTTTTATTTTTTAAATTAAAAAGTACAAAATACAAAAATTCTATATAACCATGTAAAAATATCTGTATTAAAATGTAATGACCGGTATTCAGGTGACTGTGAGGCCTATGACTGCAATTTCCGGGTTCGACGACATGCACGAAGACATATGTGCGACTGCTGCTGACAAGCGGACTGCCTTGATCATGCTTCCTTTCCACAAATCACCCAGACTGGACGGGCACTTCGATTCTACTCCAGGTTTCCGAACAGTTAATCAGAAGGTCCTCAAGCATGCACCGTGCTCTGTTGCTATTCTAATCGATCGTGGAGTCGGTGGATCAGCCCAAGTGCCTTCCAGCAACGTTGATCACAATGTTGTCGTGTACTTCTTTGGTGGTCCTGACGACAGGGAAGCTCTGGCATATGGTTTCCGTATGGCTGAGCATCCGGGAGTTAAGCTTCATGTTATCCGTTTCCTTTCTCACAGCGTCGTCATGGACGACGGCCATGGAGGATTAGCTTCCGTCGGATCAGAGGTATCTGAGATTGGCAAGACGGAGGTGAGCGATACTCGTTTCCAGTTCGCGATGCATGGTCTGGACCAAAACAGGCAAAGGGAGTTGGATGAAGAAGCCTTGGGCCATGTGCGTAGGAGGCAAGCTTCTGAAGATGGAAGAGTCACATACGTAGAAATGCAGGTATCTGAGCCTCTTGAAGAGGTGGTGAGATTGAGTAGCTCTCGTGAACACGATATTATTTTGGTTGGCCGATCGAGAAGGCCAACGCCATTTTTAGAGCGATTCCGTCGTAAGCACGCAGAATATGCAGAGCTTGGCCCTATTGGAGATGCTCTGATGGCCCCACAGGTACGAGCATCTGTCTTAGTATTTCAGCAGCACGATCATGTGCTTGCCGATCCACTTCCTAATACCTCTGAAACGGAGGCCGTCAAAGAGTTGCAGACCTTCCCATCATCCAAGGAATTGGTGGATCGTAAAGGTGATGTACAGAAGATCGACTTGTCTTCTCCTGACCACCGCGTGTGATATGACCTGCGAAGGTCTTGGCTGGCTAAACCCCTAACGCTGGAGACGCCATGCCATGTTACAAATTGTACCATGTATCGCTTATTGCTTGGACAAGCCTCTTTGTAAAGAAGGATAATATATTCTGCTTGAAATTCTTGGTTTAAAAAGAGTGTGCAATGTGTTATGTCACAACCTATTCTGTCATGTGATTGCAACCACACCTTATAGTTTGAATGCAAGCACATTTCAGGTTCACAGCACAGCTTTACAAGCACTGTACTATCAATATACAGATTACAACATAGTCTGCCAACTACACGCTGACCTTCTAACCCTAAAAGTGAAAGTGTGCATCTAGTTCTCAATCGATGCAGAAGCTTATAATTGCATCAGATCTTGCCGAGCTTCAGTGCGCGCATGCTTCAAGACGCAATTCGCATTCATTGAACCTCGATTTTTACATCGATCAGGATGAGAAGTATGTTTCTATTCACTGTTACGTGTCATAACAGTACAGCTTGGTCAGTTAACAAACTACTGGATAATAAAGTCAGATGATTAGTTAGGCATTTGTGATATGTAATTTTGATTATTGCCGTTGCTCTCACCAAATTATGTCTGAAATTCAGGCTTCTCTTTGTGGGTCACTGTCAGGCACAGAGACCACATCTTCATCGTACTGAACATGAGCTTTTTCAACCAAAATCAGACTGGCCTGAGTCGATTCACACAAGATAGATTCTTTTTATCTATTTCGATGTTGATATGTTTCTATGTTTTGATGGAATGGATCTGTCACCTTTCTCATTAGTCGTCAACAGCTAACAGCTCTCGATCACCACATTGTATGAACACAATGCATTCTTACTGAGCAGAATTACCACGACAAGGTCACATTTGCTGTGGCATTCTGGTACTAGAATAGTATTCATTTGTGTAAAGTTTGTAACCACTTCGTGAAATTGTCAAAATTAGTGATGACATGTTAACTGATACTATCTTCTCCAAAGCTGCTCTATTGGATGAGAGATGTTGATTTTTGAATGGAAAAGTCGGGCACGTGCTTCTATGCACTGCATTTCATAGTTAGAGTGAAAGAAGTGCAAACAAGGCAATGGGTGCCCAGCCAGGCACTCTAATACAACAAGTGTACAAATAATTGATGCAAAGAATCATTGAGTGTGCAAAGGACATGCATAGAAGCTAGTTGATGCAAATCACACTAAAAATGGACTGTTTTGTATGAAGTTTTTATCCAACCCTAATCATGTTTTGCTCATTGGGTTATTCTATTACATCATGCTTTGTTAGATTAGGCTAGGTTGTTGTTTAGGATTAGAGGTGCTCCTAATAAGAGACACTTTAGTACCAATGCAGTCACCGCCTATCAAAGACATGAACCTCAAAGAACTAAAATATTAATATTCTCTTGTATCACTCAAAAAGTTTAAAAAATTACTTAAAGATGATATAGTATTAAACTAGAATGGCTATTGCCAAAGACAAGAAGACTAGAAAGTCTTGAAATAAGATTAAGGACTAAAAAGACAATGACAAGAATGAAGAAGGCTTCACTCTTACTTTCATATATACTCTTAACTAAGAGCTATGTAGCTATGTTCTATAAGTCTTCCAAAACATATTGACTTTGTAAGACACATATCTTAACTTGTAAAGTGAATTTTTTATATGTGCACTACATATTTAGCTTGTTTTGCAAGCTACCAATATGTAATTAACTTGTTGACCAAGTTTCTAACCTAATTATCAATTACAAATATATGTAAAGTCAAAGCAACATCTATGAAGCTTCAAAGAAGCTTTTTTAGAAAATATTATGAAATAAATCTTCTTCTACCTACTTTTATTTAATAATATAGAAAAATATTAGAATAAATATATATGATTATGACATTAGCCTTCTTTCTAGGGATGAATTCTATGAGGAGCAATCATCATATGTTGAAGAAATCCAAGATGTGGCAAATTGTGTTTGCTATGTATTCTAATCTTTTTTTTCTTTGAAGATGGTTGATAGGTCCTTTTAGCCATTGATAGTATTTTATATCATGGCAAGAAGACCACCCTATTATTTGATTGTTGTTGAGACCTTCATAAATCACTTCAAATAAAATATTTGAAACATTATTAAGAGTTAATCTTATTTCTAATAAAATCACCAAACATTGGAAGTCTCTTCTAAGGTTGTAATATCAAATACATGAAGTCTTTCTATCTATTCAATGAAATACTTATTGTTCTTGAAGATCTTCATCTTGATTACATTGTCTTAAAGGTTGTGACTATTATAATGTCTCGTTTGGTAAGTTAGCAAGTGATAGTTCGTGAATTGAATTTGCTAGTTTTTGATTCTCAATCTTTTTAGTGTCACAAATATACAAAAGTTACAAACAAGAGTAGAAGATAAAATGCTATCTTCTTTAGATCTCATTTCTTTTATAGCAAAAATTTGCTATTCTTTATCTTGATTTTGATGGATGTCATCAATGAAAAGCCTCAACCTTCTTTGTTGCATTTGCAAGATTCTTTATTGGCTCCCATGTATATTCACTAATATCATATTCATGCCAATGAACAAGATATTCTAATCTGTTTCAGCTCCACCTTGAACTCTTGATTATTATCCACTTTTATAGAAGAAGATGGCATTTGTCTTCTTTTTGAAATATTCACTATATTATATGGCTCAAAAAGAGATATGTGGAATATGAAATAGATCTTCATAGATTTTGATAGATGTAATTGATAAGCAATAAAATCAATTTGTTTAAAAATAAAAAATAATCTAAGTCTACAATAGTCTAACTTATCACAAAAATAAGTAGTCTTGATATTGCAATGAAATAATCATACCTTATCTTTTATGTTCAATTATGGTTGTTCCTTACAATAGGCATATGCATTGATCTTTTGTCATTCTTGAGCTTCCTTTAATTACACCTTCATTGTTCTATGTAGCTCTAACAAATAATTTGTTAAATCTTTTATTGTAGGATTATTAATTTTAAAAAAGTCAAAAGTATAAAATCGTGGATGATAACCATAATTGACAAAGAAATGTAATTATTGAGTAGAAGAATGTATTAAATTATTACATGCAAACTTTATCAATGGCAAAAGAATTATCCAACCATGTTGATGATAGTTAATAGTATACTTCAAATATTACTTCAAAATTTAAATCATCTATTTTGTTTGTCTATTTGTTTGAAGATGAAAAGCCAAGAGAGCTTTATATCTACTTTTATAATCTTGATACAAATTGAGTTTTTTTTATCCATAATAGTATCTTTGTGCAATCCATAATAGCAATATTATTTGTTGAGTTATTGAAGAAGGCATGGAGATTGTCACTACCTTTAATATAATTTAATAGAGATGAAGAACTTAAAGAATAATATATTCTTCTTAAAATAGATCGCAAGATACAACATATTTTTTTTAAAAAAAGATTGAAATACGATACAAATATAATTTATTACATTTTAGACTTTCTTAGCAGATAATCACTTTTTATTGTGGATCTTAATCCTAGAAGTGGGAATAAAGTCATAGACATAATTGACACTAATAATTATCTAGATAAGAAGAATTATATAGAAGTAAGTAAAAATAAGAATATATAATAATATCTTATAGAAAAATGTCTTAAAATCTTTATAGACATGGATTTGACTTGATATATGTCTACAGGTGATTGATAGATTGAAAACTAGGCCAACAAGTTGACAATGTGGCATACATATAAGAAACATTTCTTGTAATTTAGATGAGTGTTTTTAAATTGGACACATGTTAGAGGTCCTACAAAATGCTGCCATATAGCTCTTAGTTAGATAGTATATATAAAGATAAGAGTGAGGCTTTTTTTTCACTTTTTTCACTTTTCAATTCTTTTCTTGCTTCTAGTTTGATTTTATTAATTTATGATTTTTTAATATTTAAAAATAGACATTATAATTCTTTTTTATTATATATATAAATTAAATATCTTTTTGATATAGGTTTAACTTATTTATTTATATTTTTTTAGTTCTTTTCTTTAACAATTATCAATCATTAAAGATAGAATATTGAAGGTAAGATAAAAAACATCTTTGTCAAGGCCTTATAATTTTGTATGATTATTTTTGTCCTAATAGCCATATGGCTTTATCTCACCAAATTACATATAATTATGTATTACTATCAATCATTTAGCCTTTAAAAATTTTGATTAATTATTGAAGGTTATTATTTTTTGAGAGATTAAATATTTAAAAAATATTGTATATAGATGTATAATATTAATAGATTTTAGAATATAATAGCAATATATTTCTGCTTTAGTTTAAATTATTAAAGAAATATTTTATAAAATATTAGTATATAAGTAATTTTTTAATATATTATATAAAATATTTTTTTGATGTTTTATAATAAACCTTTTAAAATTGAATACATTCAATTCTATTTATTATTTAGTTAAGTTAAAATTTAGATATATACATATATATATATATATATATATATATATATATATATACTAAAAATATACTAAAAATAATTTCTAAATCATTCAATCTTTGTTATAATTGCATCAAATCAAATAAATTATTACTTTCTATAAGACTTTTAAAAAAATAAATTAATATTTCATTATTTTATAAAGATTCTTTACATATATTGATAATTTTTATAAATAAAAGCATATATATTTTAAAATATTTTTTTATTGTTTATTTTTTCTTTTGTTTATTTCAAATTATAAGATGGATTTAGTTAAGAGTTGTTTAAAATTAGTAATATAAAGTCGAAGAAAAAATAAAAAATAAAAAAACAATTATATATTAAAAAAATAATTAAAATATTTTTATTAAATTTTTACCTAATAAAAAATAAAAATATTTTTAGATAGTTAATTTTTTGTAATCTTTCCAATGATATAAAAAAAATATAAATCAAAGTTACTATAAATAAGTTATGATAGTTTAAATATAGAATTTAAATAATAGAAAAAATATTAGAATGATTTTTACTTCAAGAAAAAATTTCTTAAGAGATCAAGAGTTCAAACCTCACCAAGATTTACAAGTAGTGTATATGGATGTCACAGAGAGCCTTGGGGGCCTTAGTCTTATCTTTCTACTTACATCAAAGGTGCTAC